AAAACTAAGCAACGTCGACATTTTTCTTTGTCGCTTTTTTGTTGTTGGTTATATTAATTTCAATCCTAGCGATATTTATTTGCATTCATACTTGCAAGTGCATACAGCCATACATTACAACAATATTAACATATATATATTTCTACACTAGCAGAAGTAGTGAAAAATCAGTAGGAAAATGATCGTTAGTGACACGAAAAGAAACAGTACACAAAGAAAAAAAAAGGATATAAACTCATCTTAGGTTAAGAAGAAATCTGATAAATTTATTTCGAATATAGTAATAATTATTTAATACATGCTATCTTTAGTCTTGAAAGTGTATTTTTTAAATCATATTTTTTTTGAAATATTTATTTAATTATTTCATTTAATTAATACATAGTTTAGTATTTTCTTAGTGCTGTATTTTAATATATGTTGATTTCAGTCAGGTCTTCGAATCTATTCGAAGAAATCTTAACCCACCTTAATTTAAAAAGAAATAAGAAATATATATCTCTAACTAATTTCTTAAATAATGCTATTTCTATGTCTTGAGGGCGTATTTTTTAAATTCAAATTATTGAATTATTTAAATTAATTAATATATTGTTTAATATTTTTTTAGTGCTGTATTTTAATATATGTTGATTTCAGTTAAGTCTTCGAATCTTTTCGAAGGAATCTCAACCCATCTTAATTTAAGAAGAAATTTGAAATATATATCTCTAACTAATTTCTGAAACAATGCTATCTTTATGTCTTGAGGGCGTATTTTTTAAATTCAATTTATTGAATTATTTCAATTAATTAATATATTGTTTAATATTTTTTTAGTGCTGTATTCTAATATATGTTGATTCCAGTTAGGTCTTCGAATCCATTCGATTGTCTCTGTCTCGCATTGATACGACTACTTATTTTGTTCTGCACAAATACAAATGAAAATTTTTACTATTAATAGTAAATTTACTTAATATCTGTGTAGCTTAGAATGTAAAGCATTCAAATCAAATTTCAAGCTCTTAAAGTTTATCTGGAGATATACACGCATGAAATTCGTTTGAAAATAACAATGACTGCGTATTTGAGGTATTGGCTTAACTCCAAAATTCTAATAGGGGATGTTGTTGGAGGTGGGAATCCTATTTGCAAGCGAATATTTTTTTATACAAAATAAGAACCTTTTAAAAAAAAGTGCAAATTCTGATTTTTCGCAGTATTAGAAAAAAATTTTGAAAATTTTATATCTGGTTGTGGCAGCTTTAGTTCAGATTCTGTTGGTGCTTTAGTTAAAATTGCACCTCGTAGCAGCAGCGTTGCCCGCATTCGAGTGCGGCAAATATGATTTATGAATTTTGTACACGACTGAGAATGGAAAATTGCTTTGGTGAATCTTTTTCATTGTAAGAGAACGTGTCGGGTTCTTTTTACTTATCTATCGATTTTGTTGTATGAATTGAAAAGAGATTAGCTGCAAAGATAAAACGTAAAACGTTACTCGTTATAATCGAATTAGGATAAAGCATTGTGTGGGTTTTTAATTTGTATCCTCACTAAATAACAAATTTCCAAATAAACGCTTTAATGAAAAACCATTTATGAGTAAACAAATTTTCAAAGTTGCTTCAATCCAAATTAAAGTATGAGAGTGGAATGGTTGTTTTATTTTTTTTTGTTTCAGTTCTAATTGAGTATTGTTAAAAAAGGATTTGTGTCGATTTCGAAATCGTTGAAAACGCTTTGATTTGTGATATGCATTTACTATTGCAACGCATGCAATGCAATGTTGTGTGGGTAGTACAGGCAAAGCCAATGGCATTATTGTTCGTAGAGTTGCTGTAACAAAGTTGCTGCAACATCAGAATATTTCGAACTTTGCTTCGTTAAGCAAGTCTATTTAACACTTTTCGACCTTAACGCGGTCACATGCCTTTATAGTGACCGCTAGGAGTGCCACTGCACCTGCCACTCCCATGACCACTGCGATAACAGAAGCACAATACGCCTGCAAACAACGGACGGATGCAAATGGTTCGGTCATTTGGGTTGTCATTTGACATTCAACAAAAAAAAAAATTTTCTCTCATTTCAATGGATTCATATCCAATTTTCAAACATCGGGGCACAGTATTTATGTGGCATGAGGACAATAACATTTTTGGAATGCATTTTTAGTTTATAGAGGACAAATAATTTTTGCTTTTATATATGTTAACTCTATAAATGAGTATCAGAATCAGAGTCCAAAACTGAATCTGAATTATTTTTGAGTTCATTTGATTTTACTGAAGCCAATTTGTATACTTATGAGTACCATATAGGCTAAAGAGTATTGAAATAAGAAATGAAAGGGAATAATACTTTGAAGGATATATATGAAAGTTAAGGAGATTTATGAAAATATGATATAAAAATGATCAAGAAACTTAATAAAAGTGTTAAAGATGTTATGATAAAGAATAATTTAATAGATTAACTTTTTGTTAAAAACAATCCCCCTCGTATTTCAAACCGTTCTGCTCTGGATCTTTATCGGGAGTACTTTAGCTTAGGGTTCCTGTATTAGTTACCCATTTAAATTTTTTTCTTCATTAGCCTGCGTCCAGGTCTCGCTCAGGTTTATTTATTTGCCTCTTTTTCAAAATTAATCATATTTTTTATTATAGTACACAGAAATTTTTAATAAAGTAGATTAACATTAGATATTATTTAACTACAAAATTTGCATTGATTTGGAAATTATGAAAGTTTGAAATATTTCGTTTGGCTAATTAAAACTTTATATACTTTATTTAGATCAGAATCAGTACAGTATTTTTCCACTGGCTTACTTGGGATTGCTTGAGTTACTTGAATCTTAAGTAAGGTAACTGGTCTAATGAAGCCAGTGGAAACACATTATTAGAGATCTTATGTGTTTTTACGAACTAATCAGAATATTGATCATTTATATTAGATCTTATATTTTTTTTATATAATTCGGTACGAATTAAACGCAGGTATTATTTTTGATATTGTTTTTGTAAGATCATGGTAAAACAATTATAAATACATATTTTCTTAGCATTGCGTAAAATATTATATTTGGCATCGTGCCTCGAATTATGATTATATTAAAGAGTTTATGTATTTCTACGATTTGTAGACATTATTATTATAGTAATTGATCTAAAATTATAAATATATGTAGCATATAAATTGAATTGAATAGAAAATAAAAAGCAACCATAAATATTTTATGCTAAGAAATAATGGTAAACGGATTAAAGGAATTTGAACTATCGAATATCCATGCATGAAGATTTCCTAATATAAAATGGGAAAAGAGGTCCGGGTCTAGTATGTTTTTCGTCTACATTAAAGCCGTGCACACACAAAAACTGATGACTAGAAACCTTATTCCCTTGCAGACAGATATGACATTGCATTATCTTAAATAGAGTCATCTTGTTGAGATAGTAACGGTAATTGAGGTGTTCTGTCAGACAATCCGGTAGCAACGTCCTTTTATTGTTTTTAATAAATTTTATTAAAATAAAATCTTTTTGCCTAAGTATTTCCGTATATTCGAAATACCTATTTGGTTCGTTTTGTTCGAAAAAAAAATATATAAGTACGAGGTTTTATTATCATTTTTTATATATTTTATATCTTTATATAAAGTTGCCTTATTGGTTTATTTTATGTTTTAGTGTGAATATTGTGGCTTTTAAATGATAAGCAAAACAACTGTTTTTTAATATTAAATGAAGCTTATATTAAAAACGTTATAAATAAAAAGGAATTGACTAATAAAAATGTTTAAAATAAGGTTATCCACAAACTGAACGTATGTGTGTAAGCGAGTGCCTCACAAATAAATTTAAACGAAATGTTATAAAGCACTTATGTACAGTAGGTGCTTATGTATACACGTAAGTAAAGGTATAAAGAGTACACATGAGTATATCAAAGTCAAACCCAATCTCAACCCCAACTCCTACTCCAACCAATTTCAATATTGCTTTTACAAAATGCCCTCAAAAGTGTTGCTCAAAAGGGTTCATTGCATGGGCGGTGGCTTTAAGTGCTTCAATCAATAATAAAAGCAAAAAGTAAGATACACTCTACCTTGTTAACTTAAAATACTTTTTATCACAGTATTTTTCATTCCTGTGTCTTTTCCAATAGGTCGCTGTGTTCTACTTTGTGTGCTTTTTCTTGTCTTAACTTTAGAATTTCAGTAAAAAGTTGACAACTGATATCATAAATAATAAAAGTGGAAGTGTCGCTAACACTTATTTATTTGTTTTTTCCGCTACTATACGAGTATATCTAAAGGAGATGGCAAAAAATTACCTTCCTATTTATATACGTATAAAAGTATAAAGTTATTTGAAAAATGGCCTATTTATTTCCAATATTAAAGCTTTATTGTTATCAATTGATGCTACATTATATAAAATTATTACCCTCCCGTCCGATAAATGAAGTAATTTTGCACTCGGAAGATATGTGGAAGACATATGAATAATATGCAAATTGAAAAACGACTTTTCAATAACATATATAGAACTTGCAGTAATATTTAAATTCTATAACATGTAATACTATTTTTATAAGATTCTTTATAAATAGAAATAACATATATATGTCCTGTCGAATTAACGGGACATAGTTTCGTTGATTATGCAAACATAACACATCACTCAATAAGTAGTGTGACAGACACACAGATGGCGCTGCTTATTACTGCTTAAGATCTTGACTGGGCTGCGATAATAGTGACTACAGATGAGTTGATATCATTGATTTTCAGAATTGCGGAATTAAATATTATTTTATTCAACATGTCTGTTTTTTAATAGTTGGCATTGACATTTGTAGTTATTGTTTAAAAAATTTATTTTTCATTATTAAAGCAAAATTTAAATAAAAACAAAAAAAAAATAAGAAATTATTAATGTCGTAGTTTTATTTGCAAAAAAATTGTTTTTGTTTTCTTTTTGTTTATCGTCCAAATTCTAATTAGTAAAATGTATCTTGACAAAGAACCACCGGCAAAGTCAACCTATCAAACAGATTACATAACTCCTCAGACAAATCGTTACGATTTTCTTCTAAATTCGGACAGAATTCCAAGCGAATGTGTTATTGCGCCGGAAGATGCTGATATCCTTAAATCGAACAACTTATGCAAAAATGCTGATTGGGTTGATCCGGCTCCTTCAACTTGTCTGGTGAAGCCACGAATTATTCCACTGCAATTTAATGAACATCAACTCAACATAGACAAAGAAGACAATTCTAATGATCTTTTAGTTACAACCTACCAGGTTGATTACAATGGTATGAAGGGTTTTCCAGATCCCATGTATAAACATGTCATGCAAACAAATGTCTTTAAAGACATTAATTCTACTAAACGTACGATTGAAGTATGTAACGAATTCGATGCCATTGCCGAAGATTATAAATATGGCGTTAAAACAGAAATACCATTCCTGACGAATGTATGCATAAAGGAGAATTCACCATTTAATGTTCCTTTCCGATGTGGCAAGCAGTTGATACAGAAGGGTGATTATTCACATTGGCGCATTAGTTTATTGCCGAAGCGTAATACGTTCCCTCAATATCTAAAGGCAATTTCAAGATTTGGATGTTTTACTGACCGAACAAGGTTGGAAGAATTTAATAGATGTGGACGAAAACCCATCGATCCCGATGAATTGTTGTATTAATAGGATTCAAATTCACTGTAAAGATATGTTTTATGTAAATAGTCTTAGTTTTGTGCCAAAATTATAAAAAGTATGACATCTTAAAATCATTTGGTCTGAAAATTTAGAACGCGGAAACAAAAAGATTCAAAACAAAACAAAAAAAAAAAATAAATAACAATAATTAAAAACAATAAAAAATTGCTATTTATTATTTAATTTATTTTTCCGCATCGAAAAATTATTCTTCATTTTAAGAAAAGTGAGTAGATGGTATGTGGATCTCCTGCTGATCCAAGTATGCGGATTATGGATAATTACAGATTGGACTAGAGATTGTTTATTCAGTCTCAGTACGTCAGACATTTAAAATACGTGGTGTAAAAATTACTTAAGGCTCTGTTAGTCGGTACGTACCGTAAGAACTTAACTTAAGACATTGTATATACAGACATATACAAGTGCGTCGGACTGTAAAAGGCTTCTTAAGCTAGTCGTCTGTATAAATAGGCAAAATTCTAATGTAAGACTAATATATATGAGTATCATCATTTTTTTCATTTTTAAATTGTAAGATAATAATGAATATAAGTAGTTTAAGAAACATAAGAAAGTTATATGTAGTTGTTTTTAGTTAAGAGAGTTATCTTTAACAAATTTAGAAAACAAAAGATTTTGAACAATATATTTTTGGAGAAAATAATTCCATAAACTTAATCAAATAATAATTTTATTTAACATTTGGGATTCCGACATTTTTTTAATGTAATTAATTTTTGTTTGAAGATGTGAAGATATGGTGGCCAAGAACGATATCAAATAAAGAACTCTGGAGGCAAACTAACCAAACGTCTATTAATGTTGAAATTCAAAAACGAATATATGTGTGGATAAGCCATACCATGAGTACGCCTTATGACGATATCCCGCATGCAGTGCTAACATGGAATCCCTATGGAACCCGGCGTAGAGGCAGGCCAACGACAACATGGCAAAAAAAATTAATACTGAAACTGGCAAATCGTTTAACGAACTTCGACAAATTTCGTAAAATAGAGATAGTTAGAAATTATTTGTTGTGTTCTGAAGCTCCTAATGGAGTATGGAATAAAATAATATAATAATAATAATTATTCTTTGTTTATATATAATATATTTAAAATATTGGTGTATCGACTAGAGATGTATGAAAATTGTGAAAGTTTAACTACATTTTATGACTGTGACGAAAATGGGTTCATATTTACTAATCTCAATTCTTTAGTAGATTAAATCTTATAACATTACATTTTATATTACAATAATCGTACATTATAATTATGACATAAAATCATATATAAGCAAGAGTATATTTCAACTATTCCTTGTATGAATCAATAGGAATTGTGTATGTGGACATCCTGAATTTAATGTATTTAATGTAATTGTTTATTATCTTTATATATTTTATATAATATATATTTGGTATATTGGCTGCATATATTGGTTTGATAAAGTTTAATTGATATTATATTAGTATAGTTTTCATTTATAAAATGTTTGAAAAGTTAAAACCGCATTTTTTTGCTATTATTAGGGTTTTCCTATGTGTAAATTTGTTAAAATGAAGTAAGTTTTGTAGGTCGGGAGCAAACCCTACATTCGAATTTTCTGCTGAACCCATAGTAATACTTATTGGCAATACTAAATGTAAGTCTAAAGGAATATCCATTTCACGAGGCGTTAGACACGGTTACGTGTTATCACCACTATTATTCAATATATTCTTCATAAAAATATTTGAAGAATCTACTAGCGATACTCAACAAGGTGTGAAAGAAATACACAAGTGGATCCATACGGGTTATAACAACAACAGCATTTAAAATTTGTGTATTGTAATACATGGAACACGATCCTTTGAAAAGTATCTAAGTTTCAATTGGATCAATGGATGTATGTGTTGATATTGGTACTATTCATCTATTGATCTTTATTTTAAAAGTCGGTCGATAGCATTACTTCATAAGGTGTTCGCTGAAAGTCATGTAAGTCTAAAATATTCACGAAAAAAGGTTAATTTAAGACATATTTTATTGTATGACTTACAGTGCAATATTGCACTGTGGAAATCATTTACACTTAATTGGAATATGATCATTATAAAGAACCATGAGATTTTTGTACACAAAACTTAAGATAGAGTTTAGTGTCATTTGATGAATATAATTTTAACATCTGCGATAATATATTGTTGATATTAAGTAGTGTAATTGCAGTTTTAATTTTAATTAGATGTAACACTTTTTCTTATTAATTGATTTTTAAGTTAGCTATCCGTCTATCTGCTAGCTATACTCTATTGTTTTGCTGTGATCACATCATTTTGCCATCCAATCAAAAACAATGCTGTTCAGGGTACAATGTAACTTAATGTCTGATGCAGCCACAGAATTCCGCCAAGGGAATTACAACAAAGTGAATGCAATTAATTGAATAAAGCTTGGAATGCACACAGATGCAGCTTAAACGTAGTCACTTAACGCAAATTTGCGCACGATTTATACACGCGCCACCGAGCATGTTCCTAATTTCAAGTAGCTGAGTTGCGAAGTTTGTGCAAGCGACAAGGACAATGATGATGGTGGCTAGCCACCATCCAACGGGAAGTGAGAGGGGGATTACCAAGCTAAGTCAACTTTAATTTGTTTAACACACTCCGAGCTACGTACTTTGCTCTACTCAGTTTGCGTTCTGCTACTGAGACTGAAAAGAACTCCAATTTGGCACTGGACCACACGCTTAAGCACGCTAATTACTTTGTACTAAGTAATGCGTTTGGGGGTTGGCCAAGAAATTCGTGCTTTGACCCAAAACAATTTAAAAAGTTAATTAAGCAAAATAAAATTAAAAGCGAGAAAAATTACAATTTAAAAGCACATTTTCTCTAAATTTATTATAATTATTTTTCTTCTCTTTTTATTTAAATTGGTTTAAAATGCTTGCATAAATTTACTGCTAAG